TTTGTTTACTCCTCCTTTCCAGCCAGCCAAGAGTACAGCACACGTCACCGGTGCTCCGAGCGGACCGGTGCCACAGCCGTCCCGAGGCCTTCCAGGAGAGAGCAGAGTCCCCGCCGGATCCTGCCCTCCCCGCAGAGGCAGATCAGCCTGAAACCTTCTTCCAGGAGTCCCATGACTGCTCCGTCAGCGCCTGCCCCGAGCAACACCCAGCGCTCCCCTCCGCCGCTAGCACCGTGCAGGGGTGTAACAACAGCCAGGGGAAAGAAAAAAAGAAAAAAAAAAGCCAGCACGTCAGCAAGCTCCTACCTGCGTTTCTAGCCTCGGCAAGTTACTCTTGCAATCGCTCTCAGCCCGTCTCTGCAACTTCTGCGAGCGCTCGTAGGCACTGAGGCAAAGAGCTTCCTTTTTCAAAGGAGGGCTGGGGGGGGGGAAAAGTCCCGTTTCATGCGCGGCTGCAATCCGAAGGCTCCCGCAGGCTGGGGAGGGGTCAGACACGGGGCCGCTTCCCTCCCAGTGACCCCAGCGCCGGGGCGGCTCACATCCTGCTGCCTCACTGGTAAGAAAACCCTTAAGCAAACCCCAGTGAGCAATGCATTTCTCAAAATAATTGATTTCTCTAGTTTCCTTTTAGGGAAGCCAACGCTGCTGTCCTGCGAGATGACACCAATACGGTATCGCTGCTCAGCATTCACACCGAGTCCAGCCGAAAGCTCCTTCCGCGGCTGCTTATAATTGCAGCCCTTCGGTGACGAGCCCGTGCCAGTCACCCCGTCCCCACGACTCCCCGGAAGGGAGAGGGGAGCAACGAACCCCCCGCCTTCCCCCCGAGCCGTTTTCGGTGTCCTTACTCACCACTAATGCCCGTCGCTCAGGCCAGAGTTTCCAGTACAGGACACAAAACCACCCGTGCCAGTTTGACAAAGCAGCCACAATAGATCAGACGCATCGAGTAAAAACCGAATTTACAGAGCACGCCCAAGAAGCAAAGCGGCTTCAAAACAGACAATTTAAACAAAAAAGCAAAGACGGACACACACGCACATTTTTTCCATAACTCCCCCCCCCACCTTCACAAATACCTTCCCACAGCCATTCTGCACTAGCTCAGTTTCTCGGTACAAGACGATCCTGGTTTTCTACGATCAAAGGAGACGTTTTAATACGGAGAGCGAGGATCAGACCAATTATGGCAAGCAGGGCTGGACTGGCACTAATGACAGCCAGTTTCTGCGCCTCCGGAGCCAGTCTGGCAACAAACAAGACAGCTCGCCTTCACGGGACGAGGCTTTCGGCTGCTCTTTTGAATCGTTTTATGATATGAGAAAGAAAGGTCTGTCCCCGTGC